ATTGAAATGCTGATGAAAATGTTTGAGATTGTTGATTGATTCTGAGTAGCTTTGAATGATGTGATTTGAATGATTGTTAGTTGAAAGAGTGGTTAATTTGATAAATTTTGGATCTAATTTCTTGTGTCACTTGAGGACAAGCAACAGTGTAAGCTTGGGGGTGTGATAAGTCCATGAAATAATACTTACAATGTATGGTTTTTAATATGAAAATGTAAAAAAAGAATACACTTTGTGTTAATAGATACCCCAAATTGAATTAAGGTGGATGATTCTGATTTAAATGCTAATGGGTTTTTTTTCTTATTTGCATTCTTCAGGCCCAATTGTGATACAACCCAAGGAAAGAAAGGAAAGAGAAAGGAAATAATAGAGAAATGAGAAAGCAAATCAGTGGCCCAAAAGAAAAGAAAAGAAGAAGAGAGAAAGAAGTCAGAATCGTGCGTCTTCTGAAAGAGAAAGAAAAAAAACCCTAGCATAGACCGTCTAAGTGAGCCTACTCCATCTCAAGCTCTCCATCACGGTTCCCTCTCTGAATCGAGCAAGTAAACCAAAAACATCCTCTGATTTTCAACCTAGATATAGAACCATCACTTTCCACCACGGTTCAGTTTTTGAATCGGACCAACTTACACAAACCCTAACACCTTGTCTCTCGAACCGAACCCTAACCCTCATACAACCCATTTCCATCGTTTGCACCCTTTCTACCTGATTGACGCACCAAACCACACAATATCGCAAACAAACCAAAACCTAGCCACTATTTTGGATTCAGAAAAAGCCAAACAAAGATCCGTTACTTAGTGGATGCTGGAGCGATTGTGAGCACACGTCAGTGTACGGTTTGAAGGAACGACAATTCCATCCGATTTGTAAGAGCAGAGGAGTGGAGCACTGTGGGGACCACTCATTTGCAGCAGCGCGTCATATTGCTGAGCTGGAGAAAAAGAGGATAGTGTGCAAAGAGCCCTATAAAAGGGATATAGGAGTGAGTCATCGGGGAGCTCTCTTCTGTTTTCTGATTTATGGTTTTTCTTAGTTTTTGTTTTCTGAACAATTTTGAGTTTCTTTTAATTTCTGTTTTGTAATGAGATTCTGGTTCATTTTGATGAACTTGATGCATGTCTTTACAGCACTGAGATTGCCGGTTGTTAGGCCAGTGCTGTAATTGTAGTTTTTAGAATTTTTATTTTGTGAATTCTGTAGTTCTGTTACTGTTTGTAAGCCTCACCCCTATGGATAGTGGCTAACTTTTTAGAGGTTGGGTTTAGGTGATACCCAAACCTCAGTGCTTGTCAAATATTTGATTTCCTGGTTTTAATGTTTATATCTCAGTTGTTTAATGTTGTTTCTAATGTTTAAAATTATCTGCATTTTGGCCAAATGTCAGATGTTTGGTTAGGATTTAGTTGTTGAGAAACAATTAATTCTGGATTCTGCATTAGACACATGAACTTAGATGAGAAATCATCTAAGGGATCTCAATTCAGAAATGAATGAGTCCTCATGTAATAGTGGACCTGAATCTCAAGAGTCCTAATCCCACTTGGCATAGAGATATGGAAGTGGGCAACTTTGGGATAAAATAATTTTTAAGAGATTAAAAATTAACAATACAGTCCTGTTAACAGAGAATCTTAGGATGAGCCTTTTGTTAATCAAATTATTTTTCAAGCATTGTGGGGAAGGAGAGCCAAAAACTCAACCCACCTTTTTAAACATCTTTATCAATTCAGATTTTCCAATTTCCTTTGTTATTTCATATTTCAATCTCTATTCCGTTTTCAAAATTTTTGTCACATCTTTCATTTAAGTTGCTCCATTCTTCATTCTTATTTTATAACTTAAGAAAGTAATTCAGAAAATTTTAAAAGAAAAGTGAACAGTAGTGTTTTAGGTCCATTCTAAATTATTTTTACTTTACAATTTTATATCTTTTATTTTCAAATAGTAACTCAATTTTAAGCAATTACAAATTTTAGTCATTTCAAAACGTCAACGATCCTTGTGGGAACGATAACTGGGACTTATAACAGCCCTATATTACTTGTTGTCGCGTATACTTGCGCGCATTACTTGCACAACTGTTAGCAAGGCAACAGAGTTCCCAAAGCACAAAGCAAGGTATTGAATTGGGGTTGGGGCTGTGCAGGTAGGTAACTCCAGCAGAATGCTTCACCACTGGTTAATGAAACCACACATAATTTTGAACTATATTGGGATTTGTTAATAAATGATCCTACAACACTGGTTAAGAAAAATAAAGTCAAAAATAGTAAAATATTTATTATATTAACAAAAACAATTTTTATGAACTCTTACCAATTATATTTTGTATTTTGTATTTTTTGAAATACGTAATATAATTTATAAGAATTTATAAATAAAAAATATAAATATAATTTATCCCTTATTATATTGTAGGAATATAAAAACAAAAAGCATCACCCATTAGACACCGACTAACAAAAGCGCGATGAGGACAATTCTTGTTCATATAGGAATATAACAATATTCAACACTTTTTCTTTAGTAATTAAAATTATTTAATTTAACATTTTAAATAATTTTAATTAGTATTCTTAAAGCACTCGTTGATTAAAACTAATTCTATTGTTTTATTTGTATTCTTTTAGATATTTTTTATGAACTATAAAATATGGGAAAACTATTTCTTCCGTAACTGTCCAGTGAATTCAAAACGACGTCATTTTAGATTATAAGATTAAAAAATTATAATTATAAAGATTAATATAACTCTACAATATATTAGAATTACAAAAATACCTTAATTTTCGCTCAAAATAACATCATTTTGGATTCATCAAAAATATTTATAGATCATTGTTAATAATGAGTATTCAATTTAGAAAGAGGTATTGAGTCATAAAATTTATTTCTTGCGTTACTGGAGTACCAAACGTACAAATTCATGTAATTTATTTACTTACTTAAAATTTTAATTTTTTTAACAAAATCATTTTTCTGTCTAATTATAGATAGGTTATTCATGTAATTATGTTGAGACAAAAATTGCATTTAAATCAAAGAGAATTGTTCAAGTGATACATACTTGATTCGGCTTAAATAAGATCTTGGGTTAAGTATTTGCAAATGCAAAAAATTCTTAGAGTTATCACCACTTTGAAGTGGATATTTTTAGCTTGAATAAGATTGTTTCCGTAAAAGATACACGTAATTTGTCTAAATAAAAAAAAGGGGCATTTAATAAGTGAAAAGGTTAATTTGAATTTGTATATTTATCTATACACTACATACGCGTATACTGTTAAATCAATCCTTGGAGTTTATCAAAGAAAAATATTTTATATAACAAATAATGTATTTGAGTATAATTTATATGTTTTGGTTTACTTGGTCATAATTATACTTAAACTTAAAATACAATTTTGGTTAAAAAAATTTCTTAGTCGAACTTTTAAAACTACTTTGAAAAAAACTTTTATTTTGATAGCCTAGCCTATAAAGTCATTTTAATTTGGTGTATCGTAAATGATATACAGAGAATATGTATTTTTTATTTATTTTGATGTATAAAAGTGGTACGTTCAATAAACTTGTACAACCTATTAATGTTCGCAATATGACTTATACAGTATTTTTTTTTACCCAAAAAGAAAAAGGATCACAAATTTTTTTTATACTCCTAGAATATATTAAAAAAATCCGTGGCATGTGAACTCGCAATTGATAATAGACAATTATTGTACTTTAAAATATGAGGCACTTGGTGCTTACACAAAGCATGTGCCACGTAGAGAGAGGAATGAAAACGAGGCAGTCTAATTGATAACGTCATTAGCTCTATTCCTGAAGATGCCAAGGGCCGGAAGGTTGCCTGCTGTGTAAATCAGAATGGTGACTGGGATTGGGATAAATTCAGTTTGTATCTTCCTGAAGAAATTTGTGCAGCCATAGCTAAGATTGAGCCACCTAAGGAAGGAGATGGTGATGACAGGATTATCTAGAATCCCTCTAGTAATGGCATGTTTTCTGTTAAATCTGCTTACCATTTCATCAGGAATGATAATCCAGGTATGAAGAACCAGGATATCTATTGGGATCTTGCTTGGAAGTGGAAGGATCCAAAGAGAATTAAACACTTTCTTTGGCTCCTAATTGGCAATAATTTGTTAACAAATGATCAAAGAAGAAGCAGACATATGGGAGGTGAGGCCCTCTGTCCTAGATGTATGTTTTCCTGTGAGGACTGCTGTTTTGTGATGAGGGACTGCTATTGGGCAAAACAGGTTTGGTCTCTCCTAATTGATAAGTTGAATTACAATTCTTTTTTCTCTGGCAATTTTCTGGAATGGATTCAATTTAACTTGGGAAAAGGGAAGAAGGATAACCATGACCAAATTTGGAGGCTTACCTTTAATGTTACTTGCTGGATGTTGTGGCAAGCTAGGAATAATTTGGTGTTTAAAAAAGAGTCTTGCTCTCCAGATAGTCTTTGTCAGAAGGTGCGGATATATGTGCAGAATGTGTTACATGCTGAGTCTACTCTGGTTGAGGTAGTTGTTAGCTTGAGAGTCAAGGAGGATACCATGGTGCAGTGGATGCCTCCCCAAAAAGGTTGGATCAAGATCAATACGGATGGAGCTTGCTCATTAGATGGATCCAAACGTGGTTGTGGGGGAGTCCTTCGTGATAGTGATGGCAGATGGATGGTTGGTTATATGAAGAAGGTTAGACAAGATAATGCTTTGAAGGCTGAATTATGAGGTATTTTATTAGGTCTTCAAGTTGCTTGGGATCATGGATTCAGACAAATCCACCTAGAAGAATTTTCAACTGAGGCTCTTCAATTAATTCAAGAAACCTGCTCTTGTGATCACCCTTTCTACCATCTGATTCATAAGATCAAGGAGCTGATGGACAAGCAGTGGAGTGTGATGTTATCCCATATTAATAGGACAGGGAATAAAGTAGCCAACTTCTTGGCTACTAAGGTGGATCAAGGCTCCTGGGAATTAGTTATTTTGCCTAATGTTCCTTAAGGTTGTATTAGTTTTGTTGAGAAGGATCTGTTGGGATATGTTAATATTCTCAAAGATCCTTAAGTAGGTGTGGCCCTGTCTGAACGGGTGTAGCATTGAAACATGGAAAACGTCATGGATCTGAGCCGAAGGTGGTAGTTTCAGACGGTATGCAACCTCTCCAACCCTGTTCAGGATCTCAAAAGGACCATAGTAATGCAAGTTGAGCTTTTGGGACGACCGGCGGTGGACGGAGACTTGCCAGTAAGGTTGTAAACGGAGCAAAACCATATCGCCGACAGTAAAGCTCCAACCTTTTCGTTTTTTGTCAGCTTGTGTCTTCATTGTCTGTTGAGCTTTCTTGAGATTTTCTTTTAACGTGTGGATTATGGTGCTGCGAGATGACAAGGTGGAGTCCACAGCTTCATTAGGTGAAGATCCCAAGCAATAAGCTACTAAATCTGGTGGTGGTTTGCCGTACATCACCTCATACGGTGAAAATCCGGTGGAATGATGAAAGCTGGTATTATAATGGTACTCGACCCAGCTGAGGAAACGGGACCAGGAGTTGGGGTGTGCGTGAGTAAAAGCCCTGAGGTAAGACTCTAAACACCTGTTGACTCGTTCAGTTTGTCCGTCCGTCTGCGGATGGTAAGAGGAACTAAAATTTAATGTTGTGCCTTATAGTTGAAACAGGGTTCGCCAGAAATCGCTCAGAAAAATGAGGTCTCTGTCAGTGATGATAGTGTGGGGAAGACCGTGTAGCTTGCCGACGGTATCCCAGAAAACTGAGGCCACCTTGGAGGCTGAGCAATGGGCTGGGAGCGGAGCAAAGTGAGCGGCCTTAGAAAATCTGTCCACAACTACCAAGATTGAGCTATAACCGGTGGAAGATGGTAAATGTGTTATAAAATCCATAGTAATGTCAGTCCATAAGGAATTGGGGGTTTGTAAGGGGTGTAGGAGACCAAACGAGGAATGGTTCGGTGGTTTAAGTTTCTGACACACCTTACATTTGGAAATATATTCCTTAACAGTCGAATTGATTCCCTTCCAGGTGAAATTACGGGTGAGACGATGAAGTGTTGCTTTCACACCAGAGTGGCCTCCCTGTTTAGCATCGTGGACTGTATGGAGGAGATGGGGAATTAAGGACGAGGTCGAAGGCAAAAAAATTCGATGTCGGTGGAACAACAAATTATTTTTGTATTGCCAGTCAGGCCATAGACTAGGATCGTTTTGTATGTCCTGTATGACCTTGGTAGTGTAGGGATCCGTACTTAATTCGGACTATAGAACTGAAGTGAAATTTAACGTTGGGCCAGTAATGGCTGCCAAGTGAGGGGTTTGAGCATGCGAGGCTCCCTCGGCTTGTCTAGACAGTCCATCGACTACAACGTTTGCCTTGCCGGATTTATAGACAATAGTGTAATCATACCCCAGTAATTTAGAGAGGAACTGCTATTGCTCCGGGGTTTGGATCACTTGATTCATCAAATTGTTAAGGCTCTTGTGATCTGTACGGATCACAAAAGGAAGCCTAACAAATATTGGCGCCACTTAGAGACCGCTGCGGAGATGGCAAACATCTCCCTGACATATGTAGATTTACCTTGCATCATGGGTGCAAGTTTGTGGTTGTAAAAAGAAATGGGCTTCTCATTCTGGAGTAAAACATCCCTGATTCCCACGCCGGAAGCGTCTGTTTCTACAACAAAGGGCTGAGTAAAGTTGGGAAGGCACAAAATGGGTGCTGTTGTCAAAAGGGCCTTCAAGTTACTAAAGGCCTGAGCTGCCCGTGAATTCCAACAAAAACCCGATTTAGAAAGTAGATCCGTGAGAGGAGCCGCAATTGAGGCATAATGTTTAATGAATTTCCTGTAATAGCCGGATAGACCCAAGAATGCCCGTAGCTGTGTAGTTGTGGTAGGTACTGGCCAAGCGGAAATCACTTGTAATTTGCTGGGATCAGGTTGAACACCAAATCCAGAAATAATATGGCCCAAAAAATGAATTGAGGGCTGAGCAAATAAGCATTTGGAGAGCTTTGCATATAAAGAATGGGCCCGTAGAGTGGTTAGAACTGTGGCCAAGTGATCCCAATGAAGAGATTCTGATGGGCTATAGACGAGAATATCGTCGAAGAAAACCACAACAAACTTGCGCAAATAAGTGGCAAAAACTTGATTCATAGTAGCTTGAAAGGTAGAGGATGCATTACTCAAACCGAAAGGCATCACTAGAAACTCGTAGTGTCCTTGAGTTCAACTCTCAATGAAAGCACCAATGTAGCTAGGTATACACAGAAGAAGGTTTAGGAAAATAAGAGGAGAAGAAGAAGAGAGAAGATAGGGAGAGAGAGAGAGAGAGGATTTTACTTTAAAGATACCTCATTCATTGATTTTACGTGACTATATCAACTACGTTAGTATATGGCACCTAATGGACCTTTAACAAAAGAAATTACAATATGGCACCTAATGGGCCTTTAACTAACAGAATGACAAACATTGCTATTGAAAGATCTTCAACCTAATTGATAGTTAGATAGCTTAGTGGGCCGAACCAGTTTCTTCCTATCCCTTAGTCCAACTCGTACTGTAGAATTAGGGCCCGTTAAAGAATGCAATGATTCTTTGTATGTGCATGCATATCTTAAGAAGAATATATGCTTCGTATAACTAAATATGCTCGTGGGTTCATGTGATGGAATGGCAGTCTAATCTTTACAATTATGTACGAAGGGGTATCTCTCCCACTATACAAGTTTAGAGTTGGTGACCCTAATCCTTTATAGGATTTGTAAAATAGGAATAGTAAGGTGTTTGACTATTAGAGTTGTCAACCCCAACAATCAGTGGTGGAAAATGGGAAGAATATTGTAATTTATAATCTCTCTTTATTGGATTATTCTATTAATCTTTTGCTCTAGCTTGTTTTTCATCCTTGTTTAGATGGCTAGATTATTGTGCTCAACACATCATAAGTCAACCAAAAGGTGTGAACCTTAATTGATGTTATGAGGTATTAAGACACACAAAATCACAGGTCTTTTGGTATAAACCGAGTTTATTGAAAGTTGTTATATATCATAGGTCATTTCATACAATAAAGATCCATAACAACTATTAAACTTATGGATAATGTTATTTCCCCGTCATTTTTATACTCTCATTTTATAATAAAAAAAAACACATTCCAATACACTTTTTTCGAACTTAAAAGTGTGAAAATGAAAATATTTTTGGTTAAGAACAACATTACCCTAAACTTATTTCACTAACCTTCAGGAAGCACATTGATTAAGATAAGGAACAGTGGTAAACTCGCTTTACATTATAGAGTTGAATTTATGGAAATTTGGGGTTTATGCAAAGTTTAGGTTTTGCATGCTACTCGCTTTACATCCACGTTTTTTATTCACACTTCACAGCCTCAAGAAGGCTAAAACGTTTCCCCCATTTCCAGTTTCAATACATCCCCGAATCACACTGCTATTACATGGTTGAAAAGCACATTTTTGTGCCAGCTTAAAGTTCAAGTTTCAATCTTCAGCTATCAAACTGCTTAAAGCAAAGTCTTAACCAGAAAACTTGTTATCTATATTTTCTCCTACTCACCAACTTAGCCACCCAAATTTTCTAACAGTTCACAAATCTTTTGGCTTTTTCCCCAGCAGAAGATGCACTCTCCCTCCCCTTTTTCAAATAATATTTAAACATAAGGGAAAAGGCAAAAGCCTAATGACTTATTTTATGCTTGCAACTAAAGAAAAGAGTGCTTCTGCAAAATACCAAACAATGAAAAAAAAAAACAGGCCTTTGGAGGGCCACAATTCAGCCCTTTTGTTTTACCCAAAAGAAATAAACAATTTAAATTTTAAAACAAGGAATTCAGTTTTCATTTCAGAGGAGAGAATACAAATCTAGTGAAATTTACTTTATTACGTCACCAAATTTGTAAGTAAATACACTGCCAAACAAGATGTTCAAGTTACTTGTCAGAAATGCACATTGTCTCAGTACTGAACTTACATACCACCACATTTGTAATATGGCTCACCTCTCTTATCATTAGAGAATATTTCCCACATATATATACCTCTTCTCACCCATTAAAGAGGCATTTTGCATCCTTATCATATTTATGAGCAGTTACTCTGTCAAAATATAAAGCCACCATACCTTCTACACAATCCCCCTCTCTCAGCCATCTCTAAGATATTCACACGGTGACTCCTCCAAAAGATTGGGTTCATAACCCTGTCTCTAAAAGCACCTCCATAGCGATATATTCAACCCTCTAAGGTATACAAACCTAAGCTCTCCCAACACTAACAGTTCAACACCTAAAACAGTACAAACAGAAAGTCACTTTCCTCACCAGTTTATGATATGCTGCAGTTTTTCATTCCCTTCAACCCAGCCTTTTTCTTGCCCTGCTATTTTCTTTCTCACCTTACTGTTCATGATACCATGTCAACCCTGTAATTTCTCACTTTTATGGTTTACTAATAACGAAAACTGAGACAATGTACCTCTAACACCAAATTTCACATTTATAGATTAGTCACATAACTAGTAGTCTAGTACTAGTCCAAGTAAATGACAACAGTTTTATTTAGACTTTTTGTTGGAACTGATTTTACTATTCTATATGACTAAATAAACTATGTAAAGAGTATAAAGCATGCACTGAATAACAAACTCAAATCTGACAGATAGAAGTACTGATTTGATTAATTTTTCTTCTTCTTTTTTTAATTCTACATTTGGAAATGCATAAAAAAAACATTCTACCACTATGATAACCATCTTACCTCCACACAATCTTTAAAAACCTGTTTCTGTAAAAACTGAAGTACACCTACCTGGAAATATTAAAATGATTCAGTAACCAAATTGTTGAAAGTACAATGCCTCGGAGCTGAATACTTCTATTCATTTCTGAAAGGAAAGCAGTAAAAGAAGTTTTTTTAAATCTGGATAAAACACTAATGTTTTTGCCGCTTCAAACCTGTTCTTTCCTTCTTTAGACAAGATAAACCATTCATGCAAAACGAACCATCTAAAAACACATTGCAATTTAATAAATTGTAAAGTTTTTCCAACCCAGCTTTCACATTTCATGAACAGTCGGCATATTCTAATTAAGGATTTAAACAACAGAGAATGGATTATAATGCTGAGCATTTGAACTCACATATTTAGTTGGAAGTAACATCAGTCACCGATAGGTTTTTGAACAGATAAAAATTTCCTCCTAAATATTAATAAAACAAGATCTCATTACAGAGAAATGAAGGGAACAACATAGAAAGAGTTAGAAGAGAAAAGGAAATGTCTCATGACATCGAAAATTCTTGTACTACAAACCAACTAAGAAGCCTCTGTCTCTGGCCAAATACACATATATACACATGACAAACAGGCTGAAAGGAATAAGAGGCCAGTTGACCATAAATAGATCTACCTGATAGTGACAAACTTGTTGGTGCCATGTTTTGCCCAATAAGTCCTCAAATCAATTGGATTAGAAAAGTTATAACCCTCGGCCGCAAGTTTCTCTAAAACTTTCTTAAATGCTCCTATACTCATTTTCCTTCCAGCTATCCTAGCACCACGCCGCTTGGTACTCATAGGCAAAGGATACATTGACATGCCAGTTGTGCAGCACGCAGACTGCCATCCTCCAGATCCCCATCTATAACACTGTTGAGGTGTCCCAGTGCATGAACAAACAGGAATTGGAATACTGGAAATATCCAAATCAAGCCCGTTTATTACAATTTCAGTAGTTTTCTTCGGAACCCTTGCTCGTTGAACAGAAGGAGTATTCTCATCCTTTGGGACGCGAGGACCCCTCTTGGGCTTCTTTGCCTTGGGGGATTTGGGCACCTTGGGACCCTGCCTTTTCTTCCTAGCGCCATTCGCCTTCTCAACAACAGGTGCCTCTTCCATTGGTATTTCTTCCTTTGACAATTCAGGTTGTTGAATCATTTGAATATGATGTGCTGAAGACGTCTCCGGGATACCACCATAAGTCGGGTTTGTAGGTATCATATTCATATACTTATCTCTCTGACTACTAATCCATGATCCATCCCTCATGTTGTAATCCATAGGGTATGTAGTTTGGGGCATCCCAATGTCCCTAAGGTGAAATGCCCCATTAGTGCCAGATAAAACTGCAGCATTGCGCCCTCCAAGCATCGGTTTTTCCGGCATGGAAGACATCAGCTGCAGCCCCAGATGGCTCTTATAGGACGTAGCAGGTTCATAGTAACCCCAATTACGTATGTTAAGACCATTATCACCACCATCCATCACAAAAGCAAATGATAAAGAAAATTGCAGGACAACAATGTACACTTTGTTAAATATCCTCACAAATTATCCAGGTCCATTGCATTCTCCTAACAAGCCAACACAATTGAAAACACAATAAATTAATATGAAAAAAAAAATAACAACATAATGCAATTGGGTGACCAAAAAACCCACCTTTTCTTTAAGCTCAAATACAGTCAAACCAGGAGAGAGAGAAAAAGATTCAATGGTATAAATTACACAAATCCCATAAATGTACACATGCAAAACCTCATGCCCCCAAAGATTTCAGCTTCTGGGTTTTGATCTAAGATCCATTTAACCAGGGAAAAAAGCAATAAAGTCAGATCTTTGAGCCATGAAAATGAACAGATCAACAGAATCTAAGATCAAAATGAAAGTGGGAAAATGAAAAAAATACAATTAAAAAAGAGATTTTGATGTGAACCCATGTTAATACTTGAAGAAATAAAAAGAGGGTCATGGAATGTTTGAGCAAAGCGAGAATAGAGCAATACCTGTTAGGGTTCTTGGCGTCTACGAACGGCGAATGGAGAGAGCAAAGGAACAAAAATGTCTGCACGCCATCTAAAAATCTAATCTTAAAAATAAAAAAAGTAAAAAATAAATATGCATTTATGAGTTTATAATATTATAAGGATTAATCTTTTTACATATTAATCGAAATTCACACCTCCAATATTTTTTTAAAATTTGGTGGATCCCACTATATGATATTTACACATGAGAAAAATATATTGAATAATATCTTTTTTTAGTAACAATTAATGGGATAAGATTTCGTGACAACCAAATAATGTTACTACTAATGTTACTACCACATCTTAACCGTTGATTTCCGCCAATCAACGGTTATCATTTTTCAAATCAAACTCATTAATTAATTATTAATTCGCAATAAATGATAATCGTTGATTGACAGAAATCAACAGTTAAGATGTGGTAGTAACATTATTTGGTTCTCACAATATCCTACACAACTAAATAATATTTTATTTTTATTATATGTTAAATTCAAAATGTGCAAATTGCCTAGACCAGTCATCAAAGCATAAATAATAGTTATCTTCGTTGAACACCACTTTGCTATTCCGCCTGCAAATTGCCCCATTTTAAATGTGTTTTAGTTTAAGCTTCATTTTAATATGGTTCATTATTAATATTATCATAAGAAGTCAAACTTTGTAATTAATAATTAACAATAAATAAGCAAATAAAAATTGTAAATTCATTATAGGTTAAGGTTTAAAAATAACACACGTTAGCTAATTTCACCTACCACCGCTACCTTTATAATTTAATATAAAAATAAAATTATCCATTAATTCTCATTTGTAATTTTATTGAAATAAGAATTATAGCCAGCTATTATTTATATTGCATACACAAATATATATTTGTGTGTGTTTTCATGTCCACTGAAAATTAATATTTGGAAATATTACTAAAGTTAGCAACAATAGAAAAAAATTATGGTGTAAATTTAAATGGGTAATAATATATTTGAGTATTTTAGTCATTGATAATTCAGTAAAATATAATAATATTATAATTCAGTTAAAAAAAAAGATCAGAACGTGAAAAACAGTGGGTACTGGGCCTACTGGCAACAGCGTGGGCTGGTGGAGTTCCCAAAGCACAAAGCAAGGTATTGAATTGGGGTTGGGGCTGTGCAGGTAGGTAACTCCAGCAGAATGCTTCACCACTGGTTAATGAAACCACACATAATTTTGAACTATATTGGGATTTGTTAATAAATGATCCTACAACACTGGTTAAGAAAAATAAAGTGATTTCAAAAAAAAAAAAAGTAAAAAATACTAAATAGATAAACAAAATATTTATTATATGAATGTATAATATTAACATATTTTTTATTTACGAATTCTTACAAATTATATTATGTATTTAACACTTTTTGAAATACATAATATAATTTATAAAGATTTGTAAATAAAAAAATTATAAATATAATATATCCCTTATTATATTATAGGAATATAAAATCAAAAATATTCTTTATTAGACACCAACTAACAAAGGTGGAATAAAGACAATCCTTGTACATATAGGAATATAAAAATATTCAATACTTTTCTTAGTAATTAAAATTATTTAATTTAGCATACCAAAAAAAAATTATTTAATTTAACATGTTAAATAATTTTAATTAGTATTCTTAAAGCACTCGTTAATTAAAACTAATTCTACTGTTGTATTTGTATTCTTATAGATATTTTTTATGAACTATAAAATATTTATGGGTCATTGTTAATAATGAATATTCAATTTAGAAAGAGGTATTGAGTCAGAAAATTTATTTCTTGCGTTACTGGACCAAACGTACAAATTCATGTAATTTATTTACTTACTTAAGATTTAAATTTTTTTAACAAAATCATTTTCCCGTCTATTTATAGATAGGTTATTCATGTAATTAAGTTGGGACAAAAATTGTCATTTAAACAAAAGAGGGTTGGTTCAAGTGGTACATACTTGATTCTGCTTAAGTAAAGTCTTGGGTTCAAGTCCTTGTAAATGTAAAAAATCTTCTTTGGGAGAGCTATACCCACTATAATATGTATGTTTTCAGCTCGAACAAAATTGCATCAGTAGAGAATATCCGTGATTTGTCATTTAATAAGTGAAAAAGTTAAAATTTGAATTTGTTTATCTATACACTACATACGCACAACGGCGGACCTATTTGGTTGCAATTGTAGACACAAAGTTAGGGATTTTTTTTTTCACATGGTGGATGATTCAGGTTAAGTAAAAAAAAAAGAGAAATAGAAAAGTTGAAAGGAAAAAGGTGAAGATAGGTTCAACCCAATCAACCCGGATAATTAAGAGCTAAAGCTTAAACTTCAACCCATTGCTTTATCTCTTTTTTTTAAGCATAAACCTTAGGTTTTAATGTTTCTGCGGTGAATATAGATAAGTTATATACATTCGCTCCTAAAACAACATCGTTAAAAATTTATAATAAAAAAGACTATTATAACCCGAAAATAAATTATAATTACAAAAGTACCTTGATTTTCGCCTCAAAACGATATCGTCTTGGGTTCAATGGAGACAAATTATCTACATTGACTATAGAAAAAGTGAACCCTAAACCTTATTAGTTTCAAATCTTAATAGACATCAACGATTCCTGAAATTCAATCTTCATCAAGTAGAGGAGAATCACACGGGATTTTTCACTTTTTTTGTGAAGCAAAAGTAGCCAACTTTGGATCAATTAAACATAAACAGAGGTTGTTTTTTATTCATTAACCCGACAATTATACTATATTTTACAAATGTATTTTTGTGGTGTTTATTTTTTATTAATTATCATTATCAATCATTTCTTTAAAACTTTGGTTGATTCAGCAAAACTTTACTTTTGAAGTGAAAGCAAAAATTGGATCGTGATCTTTAAAAAATATTTCGGGGCCACCTCCGAACAACCGACTCTAAGCGTGCAGACATAAAAAAAAATTTCTGGATCCACCACTGCATACGCATATACTGTTAAATCAATCCTTGGAGTTTATCAAAGAAAAATACTTTATATAACAAATAATGTGTTTGAGTATAATTTATATGTTTTGGTTTACTTAGTCATAATTATACTTAAACTTAAATACAATTTTTGTTAAAAAAAATTTCTTAGTCAAACTTGTAAAACTACTTTGAAAAAAACATTTATTTTGATAGCCTAGCCTATAATGTCATTTTAATTTGGTGTATCGTAAATGATATACAGAGAATATGTATTTTATTTATTTTGATGTATACAAGTGCTATGTTGAATAAACTTGTACAACTTATTAATGTTCGCAATATGACTTATACAAGATAGTGACACAATATATAACTTGATATAACACCTCATGATAAATGGAGACTAAGTCTCACATTGTGGTTGCCCTATACAACGATGTTTTTCAATTAATTCCAAAAGTTGACTACTATAAGAAAATATTTACTAGTTTGGAATCCGATAGAAATGGTAAAATGGACTCAACCTGGCACGCTTAGTTTTTCAACACTTCGACCCGCCTAGTTAGCTAATGGCGGGGAGGTGCAATTTTTTTATTATTATCTAACAAACTCATTTTTATGTGGCTAAGATCATTGAATTTACTGCTGTAAATATTTCTGAAACAAGCATCTAAACAAAATGAATAATCAGATTGTGATAAATAAAAATTATCTCTGAGAAATATTGAAATAAGTTGAGTCAAACAACGTAATTTTTGAATGACTACAGGATAAGCTAATATAATGTCATATGTTTTTTTTTCGTCAAAGGATCAAACAAGATGCCTTTGCAAAGTTTGTTAGACAGTCAAGTAATCACTAAGTCCACAGGTACATAACTTTATATATGGAGTATAGTTTAGTTAGAACTAAAAAAAAAATAGTTTGACAATTATGTTATATAAGCACATTGGTGATCTTTGTAAGCTCTTAGTCATGAACAATTTCCGTAGTAAATTTACTGATACATAATTTCCTCTTATGTTAGCAAAAAAATTAAAATTTCAACATCACTTCTATCACTTTGTTTCAAAGCTTTAAAATTATAATAAAATAATAGGTAAGCAGGTAGGGCAGATGGGTTGACTTTCTGAACCCATTATCAAAAGTGGGGTAAGATGAGCTGACTCGTTTGTAGGCGGGGCGAGGCAGGCCACCCACTTTGCTTACTCTAGAACCGAGTGCCTCCCATTTTAGGAACCTTTTGAGCTTTTTTTTTGTGTGTTGAAATTTCTAATGAACTAACTAAGCCAAAAATAAACAAGGGCTCATTTTCTTTTACTTGGATCGTATTGGCTTAGCAATCCAAGCCAGCAATTCACAAACTGAGTCCTAGATATAACAAAATGCATTGAACCCAACGGATCAATCTGTCAACTTTCTAAAACAGGATGTGATTGTGCATTTCAACCCACCAACCCAAATAACCCACCTATATGCAGGCCGGGTTAAAATGGGTTATAAGTGGGGCGGAGCACCGCGAATCTACCAAATATAATTTTTTTAAATATATATATATATATATATATATATATATATATATATATATATATATATATATATTATATTTTAGATTATGACTTGATTGGTCTACGAGAGACAAAATTTGTTCTTTAGGGCCATAATGTTATTATATTGCTGGAACAATTATTTTTATTCACTTTTAATTTATATTAACACAAACTAAAAGAAACTTAAGTTTGTTTTTGGATTTAAAATGCTAATATCTACAAATCAAACTAATGCTTATGAAATTCTAGTAACAAGATGCAATGATGTGTTCATTTACAAATATTTACATGTTTGGTGTCATTATTTTGTTATTTAATAACATTAAAATTATTAATTAATCTTAAGATATGATTTGTATAATTATGTTAAATGAAATTATTGGTTTAAATCAATATTTTGTCTTTAACTTATTTCTTGATGCTTTTTTTAAATTTGAGAAATATTTACATGTTAGAAATTAGAAATAAAATATTAACATTAATATATTTATATATTTTTTTAATATTTTATTTTTTAGACGGGTTGACAAGTGGGATG